GAAATTAAGGCCATGCTGGTTCAGGAGGAAGGAAGGCTGAAGAAAGTGAAAGAACACTCCGTCCATCTCGCATTTCATGAAAGGGCTAGTAGTAGCAAGGCTAAGTCAGATAAGAAGGACAATAAGGATAAGGCCTTATTAAAGGTTCGTGAAGGCCGAATCCAGAAGGGCCAGAGGTGCTTCTTCTACAAGAAGACTGGTCACTTCAAGAAAGATTGTTCGAAGAGAAAGGTTTGGTTCGAAAGGAAAGATATATATTATGTTTCAGTATGCTTTGAATCAAATCTTATTGAGGTACCTAAAAATGCCTGGTGGTTAGATTCTGGTGCAACTACTCATATGTTACATGTAATGCAGGGATTTCTTTCGATCCAGCCCATAAGCGGAACTGAAAAGTTCTTGTACATGGGAAACAGAATGAAGGTACGGATAGAAGGAATAGGGACTTACAGATTCATCTTGCGTACTGGTTGCTACATAGATCTAGAAAATTGTCTTTATGTTCCTGAATGTGCTAGAAATTTAGTTTCTGTTGCAAAGTTGGACGAATTTGGTTTTAATTTTAAGATTGGAAACGGTATATTTTCTTTGTATAAACACTCATACTATTTTGGATCTGGTACATTAATTGATGGTTTATATCATTTCAATCTTAATGTTAAATTTGCTGAATCTCTGTTTCATGTTGAGAATGCTATTAGTAGTAATTTGAATATTCGTAAAGAATGCTCTGCTTTCTCGTGGCATCAAAGCTTAGGTCACATATCCAAATAAAGGATGATGAGGTTAATAAAAAGTGAAATTTTACCTCAATTGGATTTTGTTGACTGGGATGTATGTGTTGATTGTATTAAAGGGAAACAAACTAAACACCCATCAAAGAATCTAGCCACAAGAAGCAGTCAACTCTTAGAGTTGATACACACTGATATTTGTGGTCCGTTTGACATCCCATCTTGGGGTGGTGAAAGATATTTCATTACCTTCATTGATGACTACTCACGTTATTGTTATCTGTATGTGTTGCATGAAAAATCTCAATCAGTGGATATCTTACAGGTGTTCATTGATAAGGTGGAAAGGCAACTGGATAGAAAGGTAAAGGTTGTGAGGTTAGATATAGGTGGTGAATACTTTGGAAAATCTGATGAAAGTGGACAATGTCCAGGTCCATTTGCGAAACTTCTGGAAAGTCAAGGCATATGTGCACTTGTATACTATGCCTGGTACACCACAACAAAATGGTGTGGCTGAAAGGAAGAATCATACTATCATGGAAATGGTTAGGAGTATGTTGAGTTACAGTTCTGTACTTATGTCTTTGTGGATGTACGCATTAAAGACCACTGTGTATTTGCTTAATAGAGTTCCTAATAAGGTAGTTCCAAAGACTCTTTATGAACTGTGGACAGGAAAGAAACCCAGTTTAAGACATCTTCATGTCTGGGGTTGTCCAATAGAAGTAAGAGTGTATAATCCACATGAAAAGAAGCTTGATGCTAGAACCATAAGTGATTATTTCATCGACTATCCTGAACAATCAAAGGGGTACAAATTCTATTGTCCTAACCATAGTATAAGAATAGTTGAGTCTGGAAATGCAAGGTTCATTGAAAATGGTCAGTTTAGTGGGGGTGGTGAAACACGAAAGGTGGAAATTAAAGAGACACGTGCAGAAACTCCTGAAGTTGGTGTCTCTTCTCCAATTGTTGTTCCTCTTGTTGTATCACGGTCACACAACATAAGGAGACAACAAGTTAATGTTTCAAACCCACAAGAACAACATATAGAGGATGAACCAGCTGAAAATGCACAAGTCACAAGTGAGCAAGAGGAAGGTGAACCACAAGAGATAGCATTAAGGAGGTTTGTGAGGCAGAAAAGACTGGCTATTTTGAATGACTATGTGTTTTACTCACTTGAGCATAAATGTGACTTAAGTATTGATGAGGATTCAGTCTCATTTAAGCAAGTCATGGAATGTTACAATTTTGAAAAGTGGTTGAATGCCATGAAAGAAGAGTTAAAATCAATGAGTGACAACAAGGTATGAGATCTAGTCAAGTTTCCTGAAGGTTCAAAATGAGTCAGTTGCAAGTGGGTCTTTAAGACCAAACGTGACTCAAAAGGCAACGTTGAGAGATACAAGGCTAGACTTGTTATGACTTTGGTGGCTCATTATGACTTAGAGCTCCACCAAATGGATGTAAAGATCACCTTTCTAAATGGTGACTTGGAAGGGAAGTTTATATGGATCAGTCAGATGGCTTCTTGACCGCAGGTAAAGAAAGTATGGTGTGTAAGTTAAAGAAATCAATATATGGGTTGAAACAGGCTTCTAGACAATGGTATCTTAAGTTCAATGATACCATCACGTCATATGATTTTGTAGAGAACACTGTTGACCGGTGCATCTATATGAAGGTCAGTGGAAGTAAGTTCATCATTTTAGTCCTGTATGTTGATGACATTCTTCTTTCTACTAATGATGTTGGGCTGTTGCATAATGTAAAGGAATTTCTCTCTAAGAAATTTGAGATGAAAGATATGGGTGAGGCTTCCTATGTGATTGGAATAGAAATATTCCGTAAAAGATCTCAAGGATTACTAGGATTGTCTCAAAAAGGTTACATCAACAAAGTATTAGAGAGATTCAAAATGGAAAAGTGCTCATCAGGGATAGCTCCAATTCAAAAGGGAGACAAGTTTAGTGAAATGCAATGTCCCAAGAATGAGTTGGAGCAGAAAACAATGGAATCTATTCCCTATGCATCAATGGTCAGGAGTTTCATGTATGCTCATACATGCACTCGGCCTGATATCAGTTTTGCTGTTGGAATGTTAGGCCGATATCAAAGTAATCTCGGAATGGACCTGATAAATGCTTTCTATACTTGATCCTACATTGTAATTCATGAATGATAATTGAGAGTTTTAAGCTATTCATTGAGAAAATTTACTATTATTAATTTCATTTTATTCATATTTCAGGAAAAAGGATCAAGAAGTGAAAGCCTTAAAGATGTTGAGAATTGAAGAAAAAAAGAAACCAGAGATATACACGGGCAAGTACATGCCCGTGTATATGAGCGTGTATCTCACTGGTCACGTCAATTGAAGTGTATCATCAAGACCAGAGATGTACACGGCCAGATACATGGCTGTGTACATGAGCGTGTACTTTTATGGAAAGCTTTGAAAGGCATCTATTAGAAAACAGAGATGTACACGGCCAAGTACATGGCCGTGTACTTGGGCGTGTACTTTTACGCGCGTCAGAAATTTAACTTTTGCGAGAAAATTAACCCTAGGATAATTTCTATAAAAGGAGAACTGAACTCAAACCTAAGGGAGGCGGTTTTTGGAGACGAAAGACTCAGAAACGGCAAGAGGATGGGATTAAGCATTTTATTTCATCTCTTTTGTAATTTTAATTTCAAGATGTTTAGGTTCTAACTTTCTTTTGAATATCTAGACGTAATGAATCCTAATTGACTAAATTTTCTGGAATTCTTCTAATGCTATTTCATGTTCTTTTCTCTTGGGTTTAATTGAGTAGTATCAATTTTCTCTATCTTGTTTTCTTGTTTGAATTTGAGTAAAATTCCTGCATGAAATTAACATTGCTCAATTAAAAAGACTTAAATGTATTTCTAGAGATAGAAAGACGTGAGTTTTCTGTATTAGGATTAACCCTAATTATGGAATTCATAATGAACTTAATGCAACCTAGGGGTATTAATTAAGAAAGAGATTCCGATTAATCAACTGAGGGTTAGGAATCATTATCCTTGAGAAAGGTATTGATTTAATTTGGAATTTCCTGCAGCGATAAGGGTTTGGAACTAAGTAGTTGAAGAAGAATTTCAGTTATTTGGACACTTAGGGGGATTTACAGTCTAGATACTTGCCTTTTTTACATTGAATACCTTTAGTCATAATTTTTTATAATTTATTTTCACTAGAATATCTGTTCCTTTTAATTTATTATTCTTTTACTTTTAGCAATTTCATCAACAAGGTTTATTTCTCATATTTATTAACAATTACGCAATTAAGGAAAAGTTTCTTAATAACAGTCCCTGTGGATACGACACTTGGTACTTTAATTTTAATAATATTACTTCGACAACGGGTACACTTGCCCAGTGATCAGATTTTTACACACCAGGTTTTTGGCGCCGTTGCCGGGAACTGTTTAATTAGGATTCCCTTTATTACGTATTTACTAATTTTATTTATTTTTTTAGTCTTGAATTAACTTATCTATTTTTACTTTCATTCTTTTTAGGAGCTGATTTTTCTGGTGTATGATCAGAACCCGTTCTACTGCACTGTCTGAAGAACTATTTGAATTTGACCCAGAGATCGAAAGAACTTTGCAAAAAATTCAGAAAGAGAGGCGAATGCTAGTACAGAGGGAAAACGCACAAACACACATGGAAGGAATGGCAAACAACGAAGATCAACCAATGACCATGTCCGATTATGCTCGTCCATCATTAACGGGGACAGAGTCTAGCATTGTTCGTCCGGATGTGCAAGGAAATTTTGAAATAAAGCCCAATATTATTCAGATGGTCCAGCAGTTTGTTCAATTTGATGGGTTGCAAGATGAAGACCCAAATGCTCACATCGCTAATTTTCTGGAGATCTGTGATACTTTCAAGATTAATGGAGCTACTGATGATGCAATCCGCTTGAGGTTATTCCCATTTTCTCTCAGGAGCAGAGCAAAGCAATGGTTGAACTCTCTCCCGCGAGGATCTATCACTTCATGGGAGACTATGGCAGAAAAATTCTTGGCAAAATATTTTCCTCCCGCTAAAACTGCCAAGATGAGGAATGATATCTCTTCCTTCTACTAGTTAGAGACAGAGACGTTATACGATACGTGGGAGAGGTTCAAGGAATTGTTGCGGAAATGCCCACATCATGGGATTCCGGACTGGCTTCAAGTGCAGACCTTCTACAATGGATTAAACCCAGCCACAAGACAAATGATAGATGCTGCAGCTGGGGGCACTTTGAATAGCAAGACACCAAGGGCTGCACAAGAACTGTTTGAAGAAATGGCAATGAACAGCTATCAGTGGAGCTCCACTCGATCCAAACCTGCAAAATCGGCGGGGATCTATAGGCTTGATGCAGTAACATCCTTGGCAATGCAAGTGGAAGCCTTAGGGAAGAAGATTGATGGTCTATCTGTTAACCATCAAGTTGCTCCGGTAATGAGATGTGATATTTGCGGAGGAGGCCACCCTAATCATGAGTGTCGAGCTACTCAGGAAGAATATGCCAATGTGATAGGAAACATACCACCTTACCAAAATTATAATGGCATGAATAATCCGGGCTGGAGGAACTATGCAAACCAACCATGGAACAACAACCAACAGCCAATGCAGAACAACACACTCCTAGGATTTCAACAAGCTTCACATCCACCACCACCCCCAGCTGAAAAGAAGTCAAACCTTGAGGAGTTGATGACCAAATCCATTCAAACTTCAGAATCTCGGTTCCAATCTACCGAGACAGCACTAAGAAATCAACAAGCCTCTATCCATAATCTAGAAATTCAGTTGGGTCAAATTTCTAGACTTCTCTCAGAAAGACCCCAAGGAAGCTTGCCTAGCAATACTGAGACTAACCCTAGGGAGCAGGTCAATGCAGTAACATTAAGGAGTGGCAGAACATTACAAGAGAAGGGGAAGCAAGAAACAGAAAAAGATGCAGTTGAAGAGAAGGATAAATGTCAAGAGGAGACAGTGGAAAAGCCCCCTGTAGTGAAAGAATTCATACCCCCACTTCCCTACCCAGCAAGATTGAAGAAAGACAAGGATGATGAACAATTTGGTAAATTTCTGTCCTTATTTCGTCAACTTCATATTAATTTACCGTTTGTTGATGCCTTGGCACAGATGCCCAAGTACGCCAAATTTCTGAAGGATCTACTGTCCAACAAGAAGAAATTGGAGGAGTTGGCCACAGTAACTCTGAATGAAGAATGCTCAGCAATTCTGCAAAACAAGATGCCCGAAAAATTAAAGGATCCAAGGAGTTTTACTCTTCCTTGTCTCATTGGTAGATTGATAGTTGATAGGGCTTTAGCTGATTTAGGTGCTAGCATTAATTTGATGCCATATTCTGTTTTTAAGAAATTAGGTTTAGGGGAACCTAGGCCAACTAGGATGAGTATTCAATTAGCTGATAGGTCAATTAAATATCCTAGGGGTATCATTGAGGATGTGCTTGTAAAAGTAGACAAATTTATTTTTTCTGTTGATTTTGTGATTCTTGATATGGACGAGGACACTAATGTTCCCTTGATCTTAGGTCGTCCATTTTTAGCTACTGCAGGGGCTATAATTGATGTGAGGGATGGAAAGTTAATTTTGAGGGTTGGAGATGAAAAAGTCACTTTCAAAATTCCTGATGTGATAAAAAAGTCTTTGAAACAAGATGATTCTTACTACTTTATTGATGTAATTAATGATTATGTTTCTGATTGTGCACAGGAATTCTTGATTTCAAACCCATTGGAAAGAAGCTTAGTTCATGATAGAGGAAAAGATGATATGAGCTTGGTAACTCAAGAACAGTGGTGTCATTTAGAAGCCACTAAGCCATTATGGAGAAAAAGAGACTTCAAAGTTTTGGAGTGGAAATCAGAGAAGCAACGCAACCCATCCATTAATGAACCGCCAAATGAAAAATTGAAGGTCTACCATCATAAAAAATTCAAGGGAGGTAAACTATTTCAAAAAGGTGATGTAGTACTGTTGTACAACTCTCGCCTCAAATTATTCCCAGGTAAACTTAAATCCCATTGTCTGGACCGTTTACTGTGCATAAGGTATTTCCTTGTGGTATAATTGAATTAACTCATCCAGAAACAGGAAATTTTAATGTGAATGAACATAGGCTCAAACTCTACCAGGGGGTCAACTGCAAACTTTTGCAAATGAGGAGTTTAAACTCCTCCATGTTGAATTTTGAATGTTGAATTACATTGAATAGTTTAGGTTAGGTAGGTTTAGTTTATTTTAATTTAGTTATTTATTTGCTCATTTATTTATATTTTGAATAAGTGTCCTCGCCCCAGCATGAACCCTATCTCCTTCTGACCACTTTCTTAGTATAGATGATGAAGACTCAGATGATGAGTAGTTTAGCCTGCAATTAGGAGTCTTAGTTGTTGAATTTTTTACTTATGTTATGTTTAGGATTTAAATTGCTTTTGTCTGTTTATTGCTTCTGTTTCTTTATCGCATTATTTTGATCGTTCTACTCCTCTTGTCATTATGAACTGAGTTAAATCTTCTTATAAATCAATTTTAATCAGGTTTCCTTTCCAAGTCAATCTCATATTAGTTTTGCTTCCCAAGATTCTTTGCTTATTTACTTACTCTTCAGGGAAGTTTTAGTTGCACTCTAACTCTTCTATTTGATTGAGGACAATGCAAATCTTACACTGTGGGGTAGATAATTATAGATGTTTGAACTGAATTGTTGTTTTATTCTTGAGCAATACTGAGTCAATTTTATTTTTGCATAGAAGATGATATTCCTGAAAATAAAAATAAAAAAATAATAATAAAGATTCATATGCAGTTATTCTAGATATTGGATTTGTGTTTTTGATTGTTTCTCGATTGAAGTATCGGTAGATTTTTCTGATTTGAGGACCTTGAATCTATGCCCTTGAATCTATGCAATTTTTTTTTTTAAGAATCGTTAATATCTGAAAAATTGGGGCTCTGCTCAGAAATAAAAGAGCATGCCATAGAAGCATAACTAGTTGAATGTGGATTGCAGGCAATGTCCGGATACCACATCCTAGAACCCCGAAATTGTTTGAGGTACCAATGTGGAAAGCAAGGGGTGGAATTTTCCATTAATACCTTGTGCTAATTGGGATGGAGCATAAAATGCACCCTATTAGCCGATCATGGCTCAAAGTAAAGAAAATTAAATAACACCTTGTGGAAGAATTCAAAGTTTTGAATTAAAATTTTAAGAGCTAATGGTAGAGAGGTCCTTATTTCAATTCTGTCTGAAGTTACAGAGGTCGAGAGCAAAAGAAAGCACAATTTGATGTTTAAGAATTACTTTCCCTCTAAAAATAAAATAAAATAAAAATAATAACAATAAAAAAAATTCAGGAATTTGATTCTTTGTTGTCAAGGGTAAAATTGATCCATTTCTTTGCTTGGGGACAAGCAATCGTTCAAGTTCGGGGGAATTTGATAAATGCTTTCTATACTTGATCGTACATTGTAATTCATGAATGATAATTGAGAGTTTTAAGCTATTCATTGAGAAAATTTACTATTATTAATTTCATTTTATTCATATTTCAGGAAAAAGGATCAAGAAGTGAAAGCCTTAAAGATGTTGAGAATTGAAGAAAAAAAGAAACCAGAGATATACACGGGCAAGTACATGCCCGTGTATATGAGCGTGTATCTCACTGGTCACGTCAATTGAAGTGTATCATCAAGACCAGAGATGTACACGGCCAGATACATGGCTGTGTACATGAGCGTGTACTTTTATGGAAAGCTTTGAAAGGCATCTATTAGAAAATAGAGATGTACACGGCCAAGTACATGGCCGTGTACTTGGGAGTGTACTTTTACGCGCGTCAGAAATTTAACTTTTGCGAGAAAATTAACCCTAGGATAATTTCTATAAAAGGAGAACTGAACTCAAACCTAAGGGAGGCGGTTTTTGGAGACGAAAGACTCAGAAACGGCAAGAGGATGGGATTAAGCATTTTATTTCATCTCTTTTGTAATTTTAATTTCAAGATGTTTAGGTTCTAACTTTCTTTTGAGTATCTAGACGTAATGAATCCTAATTGACTAAATTTTCTGGAATTCTTCTAATGTTATTTCATGTTCTTTTCTCTTGGGTTTAATTGAGTAGTATCAATTTTCTCTATCTTGTTTTCTTGTTTGAATTTGAGTAAAATTCCTGCATGAAATTAACATTGCTCAATTAAAAAGACTTGAATGTATTTCTAGAGATAGAAAGACGTGAGTTTTCTGTATTAGGATTAACCCTAATTATGGAATTCATAATGAACTTAATGCAACCTAGGGGTATTAATTAAGGAAGAGATTCCGATTAATCAACTGAGGGTTAGGAATCATTATCCTTGAGAAAGGTATTGATTTAATTTGGAATTTCCTGCAGCGATAAGGGTTTGGAACTAAGTAGTTGAAGAAGAATTTCAGTTATTTGGACACTTAGGGGGATTTACAGTCTAGATACTTGCCTTTTTTACATTGAATACCTTTAGTCATAATTTTTTATAATTTATTTTCACTAGAATATCTGTTCCTTTTAATTTATTATTCTTTTACTTTTAGCAATTTCATCAACAAGGTTTATTTCTCATATTTATTAACAATTATGCAATTAAGGAAAATTTTCTTAATAACAGTCCCTGTGGATACGATACTTGGTACTTTAATTTTAATAATATTACTTCGACAATGGGTACACTTGCCCAGTGATCAGATTTTTACACACCAGGACCACTGGAAAGCTGTAAAGGAAGTCCTTAGGTATTTACAAGGCACCAAGGACTACATGCTTACTTATAAGAGATCTAGTCAACTGAAATTGGTTGGCTACTCGGATTCAGACTATGCTGGATGTGTAGACTCAAGGAAATCGACCTTTGGCTACATCTTCTTGTTAGCTGGAGGTGCAATTTCATGGAAGAGCAAAAAGAAGTTCATTATTGCTACGTCTACCATGGAAGCGGAATTTGTGACATGCTTTGAGACTACTATTCATGCTTTGTGGCTGCAGAACTTTATCTTAGGGCTTGGTATTGTTGATAATATAGAAAAGCCGCTGAGAATGTACTATGATAATTTCGCAGCCATCTTCTTCTCTAAGAATGATAAGTATTCAAAGAGAACAAAGCATATGGACTTAAAATAATTATCAGTGAAAGAAGAAGTGCGGAAATAGAAAGTGTCTATTGAGCATATTGGTACTGATTTAATGATAGCAGATCCACTAACTAAGGGATTGCCTCCTAAAACATTTTCTGGCCATGTTGGTAGAATGAGCATTGTAGACAAGTCCTTGTTAGCATAATTGTGTGATTCACATATATGTGTATAAATTGTTTTGCTCATATTATTGTAGACATTTTGGGAATTCAATAAAAATATTGTTTCTGCTTGTTTACTTGTTATGTGAATTGTGTTAATGTACATGTATGGTTTGAGTTTGATAACAGGTTGAGTGTTAAAAACACATCAGAGTTACAGTCTGTAGTATGACTGATTAAAGCTGTTTTGATTTGAGTTGGTTCTGTGATACTTGGAAGGAATCATGTTGTTAAATGACTTGTGACTGCCATGATCTGATCAACTTAAATCATTAAAAAAGATGATGACTTGATATCATCAATTATATGCGCACTTACAGTTCATTGAATCTTCAAGTCGTCACATAGGCCAAGTGGGAGATTGTTAGATTATTTTAATAATCTTATTATAGTGGCCTATGTAACTTATAACATGACTCTAATTAATGATTTAATGTGATGGTGGTTAAATATAAAATATAAAGTAATTAAGGGTATAATTGTAAATACAATTATAAGGAAACCCTCCCTTCTCCCTTCATATAAATTAAAGAGCAGTTACCAAATGAGGGTTACGACATTCCCTATTTTTCACTTTCACGGTAAATGCATAAAGGAACTTTCTCTCAACCATCCGAGAGGAGCTCAAAGAGGAAGGAAGAGTTGGGGAAAATATCAAGGAATCAACGACATCAAAGAGAGAGGTAACATCAAGGAACAATGGATTCAAGTTAGTGCTCTCTAAACCCTTAATTGTATAAGAACCATATATTGTATTGTGAGAGCAATGTAATTCAAGATCTCAAAGGGAAAAGGTAATTTCATAATAGTCATTGCATAATAGAAATTACATAATGGATTAAATAAAATTCTAACAATTTCTATTTAATTCACAAATATCACTATGTATTAGTTCTAGTAAATGTGTATTCCTTTCAACTTTAGGAAAAAATTTCTTAGTAATTTTGGATTGTACACAAATTTCACATTTCTTATTAAAATCGTTATTACTAAGATCAATATAATTATGTTTTTACATATATTCAATTGATTTATAATTTGAATGTACTAATCTACTATGCCATAAATCATAAGAATCAATAACATACAGTAAATAATTCACTTTATTATCAATACTAAATTTGAGCATGTCTTGAGTACAATATCTTTTCCTACATATATATCATTCTTAAGTAATATAATCTTATCAGATTCCATCACAATTTTGAATTCTCTCTTACACAAGAGACTAGCAGAGACTAAGTTCTTCCTTATATCTGGAACATGAAGTACATTCACCAAGTTTAACTTCTTTCTTGATGTAAAGTTCAACTCTATTGTTCTTTGACCAAACACTTTGGCCAAATTGTCATTTCCTGTCAACACTTCTCAGTTGTTCACTTCTTCATATATGTCTTGAATTGATTGCGATCATTGCAAACATGAATAGTAGCACCAGAATCTATCCACTACTCATGGGATTTTTCATATGTTGTCCATGTTTAGTTTTGTGATCATACTAATGGGCATGCATTGAACTCCCTTAGTAGTTATAGCAATCAAGTCTCTTTCTTCCACAAGGTTCTCCTTAGAACTTGATACTTCTTTTGAGTTATTACTCTTCTTCAGAAATCAGCAATCCTTGATATATGTCCTTTCTTGTGACAATGATAGCATTCTCTTTGTCTCTTTTTATCTTGCTTAGCATCCACAAAGGATATCTTCCTTTTATCTTTATTGGCATTTACTTCTCCAACATGGTTCACTTTAGAACTTTGAGAAAGATACACAACATTACTTTTTGAGTTTCCTCTTTTATACGTAAATGTCTTAGTAATCTTTCAATAGAGAAGTCTTCTCTAAGATGTAGGAGTTTCTTCCTATAATCATTCCAAGATGAAGGTAATTTTGAAATAAATGCTCCAACTTGTAATGATTTAAGAACTATTATTTGTTGATCACGAAGTCTACTTACAAAAGTTTTTAACTCATGAACTTGATCCATGATAAGCACATTATCAACTATACTAAATTCAAAGTATTTCAACATGATAAATTTATCTGTATCTTGTCGTTCATTGTATTTTTCTTTTAAAGACTTTCAAATCTCTAATGGCGATTGAATTGACATGTAGAGATCATAAAGTCTATCTGACAAGGTGTTGAGAATTTGTCTTTGGCATGCAAAAGTGTCCTCAT